TTCAAATGTGTATTTAACACTTATGGGCCCCACCCACACATTGGTTTGTGCAAATGTGCAGAGGTTCGTTCGTTTAGGAGGCCTATGTGTTCAGATTCCTCGGTGGTGGAATGTGGGAGTGAAACAAGGGGTTTTCTTTCGAATGAAGAAAGATCTCATAAGCCGAAAAAAACCAGAAGCCTCAAATGAAGCTTTTGGATTTTGTACAATTTTCAGCTTTCTCGAGCTTTTTAGGGGGCCTATCTTTTTGGCTTTCTATCTTGTGGTTACCAAACGAAAAAGCTCAGTACAAGGTCTTCTGAGCTTTGAAAAGCCTGAAAGGCCCCTTAAAAAGACTTCCCAAACACCCTCTACATCTAGAAGATGTGCTGGGTGATCATGACATGGCATATTGCCAGTCTCTTTGCGCTAGGAGTTGTGAGGGTAATAAGTGCATCTGTAGGAAGTGTATGCACTGGGAAATCAATGTGACCATCCTGATGAGTTATTGTACTATTTCTATCTGTGCGCTGGCTACCCATGCCAGCTCTCAGAGGACCACTTACCACAAGCACGACAGTGCCCGATCCCATGTACTTACACCAATATTTGCTAACCTCTTATCACTTCATCCAATGTTACCCCTTAAACTCTTACGGCCATCACCCAATGAGCTATTCTCACCTTAATTAGTTCAATCAATGATTGTGCATCTTATTTGTTCTCACCCCAATCAGGTCCAATTGTTGATGGTGATCCATTTACAGCTGAGATTTGTTCCAAGGTTTTTTTTATTAACAACTCTATCATTCTCTCATTCTAAGGCTTTCATCTGATTTTTTTTCTTTTTTTATTTTTTTGGAGAAGCAACAGGAAATTTCATTAGGAAAGAACAACAAACATGAGGAACAAAATATGACTTAAAGCAATGAGCACAATATGAACTGATTTATCCCATAAGCCTAAAGCATCAACAAATCCAAAAAACAACAATAAGAAAAAAAAAAAAAAAAAAAACTTACAAATTACAAGCTGGCCCTGGGCATCTCCAGTCCAAACTATCTCTACCTACTCCACTTCTTGCCAACGAATCAGTAAACGAATTAGCACTCCTTGGGACCCCCAGTTGATTGAGGCATTCAAAGAGACACCTAAAGAGTGAGCTAATCTCACCAAATATCTGAACTGCCATGAGATAATCTTGAGAATTCATCCACTGAATGATTGTTTGACAGTCCCCCTCTACTTCTAAAGACACCAAGCCCTGTTGCAGGCTCAACTTTAGTCCTTGAATTAAGGCCAATAATTTAGCTCACAATGAATTTCCATGCCCAACTGGACCAGAGTAACTCTGCATTAAATTGCCTCCAGAATCCCTAACCACTCCCAACTCCAGATTCTCCAGGATTCCCTAAACAGCACCCATCGAAATTTAATTTGCATCTCCCTACTCCTGGAGGGGACCATTCCACTACTTGTTTGAGGCACCTAGATTGAAAACCCGCTATTATATCCCATCCTCTTAGCACATCTTTGATGCTAACACCATTAAATTCTTTGCATATCAAAGCCCAATGCACAGTCCTTATCATTGTTAGTTCAATCACTTCTTCCACCCATTTGTATTTTTCATTAAAAAATCTATTATTCCTCTCATTCCAGAGACCCCAAAGCACAGCACCCCTCACACATTGCCACAAATTTTTCTGTCTGCATGTAATATATTCAGCTTTCATCTGATGTTTTCTATTGATGGGGACTCTTGAGTTATTATTGGGTGGATGCAAAGATGGGTCTCAGGGCCCTTGGATTGTAAGACATTGGATCAGAGAAATAAAACCTCCCCTCCAAAGTGAGCATCTTGTTCATATATATTGATCAATAATCTAAGGTTATGTTTGTTTTGATAGAAATAAGAGGAAAACAGAAAGTTGAGGAGTTCTTAAGGAATTTCCAAAAAATTACTTAAGAACTTTCCCCCAACCTTCTGTTTCTCTTATTTTCTACCAAACCAAACACAGACCAAAGCTCAGCTAACTTACTGGCATATACTTTGGCTAGGGGAAGGGTTTCTACACCTATCTTATATTAGGAGTTTAGGACCCCAATATTCTAGACTAGTTCTCTATTTTTTTCTTAGCTTTAAACCTGACACTTGATATCAGGGATCCTAACTTGTTTATTGCTTTCTTACTATGGTTTCTACCCCCTCTTTTAGGTGACTGAATTACATATATTTATCTCTTTTTTGGTCCTCTATAATTGTTTTTCAGTCCTCAATAGATTTTGAGTTAGCAGTCATGAAGAATGATAAGGCAAGATAATGCTGCGGTGGTCTGCTGTGGTTTGGGTTACATTGAAATTAGTTTGGGAAAAACTTGCTGAATGTCCTATTAGATATTCTACTAATGGAATCCCAATAAATACTAAGGCTACGTTTGTTTTCCGTGTAAATGCTCTTTTACACTGATGGAGTTGAGACGCAATGGTTCGGTGAGAGTGTAAAATGCGGACCGGCCATTGTGCTGATTTACACTCATCCTGTTTGGTTACATCAACGTAAATAGAGTTTACGTTTTCTGGTTTGTTGCAGCGGGAGATGGTGCAGAGGAGGAGGGAAGCAGGGGAAGAAGAAGAAGAAAAAGGAGGAGAAGAGAGAAAGAGAGAACGAACAACTGCTCCTACCAGGAACCAGACTCCCACACCCAGACCATTGACGCTTGGTCCATCCCCACTTCCCCCCCTGTATTCTACGATCGTCGTCTCCATAAATCTGTTTAGAGCAAATGAGCGATGGTAGTCATACCGGTTGGTCAAATCGTATTCATATAATAATACTGCCTGTTTGAGGAACGTAAACGACTGAACTGAATGTTGAGATTAAACCATTGCTGACGGCAAGGCAGCGGTGGCACATGCCTTGGTTTTGTGAGAAACCAGAGCACGAATGAAGAAGAAGAAAAGTTTGTGGCTGGTGGCAGCGGTGGAAAGAGAAAAAAAGGGGGGAGAACCGGAGAAGAAGAGAGAAGGAGAAGAAGAAGAAGAAGAGCGAGAGAGCAAGAGAGAGAGAAGGAGAGGAAGAAGAGAGGAGGAGAGAGAGAGAGAGAACGATGTAATAAATACATCGATAATATCGATGTAAATTTAAATTAAAATGTAATTTTACACCGATTTTCGGTGCAAATTTACATGTTTACCAAACGTTAGTAAAATCGAACCGGGGTGTAAAGTTTACCCCGATTCGATTTTCCACCCCAAACAGGCGTAGCCTAAAGTGCTAATTCCACTCTGATAAAGCCAACATATGTAATACCATCAGTCAGTGATTACAATGAAACTTTCCCATGAAACCTTCTAATCAATCACAGATACAAAGAAGCCATTTGGAATCATGATAGAAGGCCAAAAGGAGATGATATTCAAACTCATAGATGATGTACATAGACCTCAACTTGAAATCCAAGAAAGAACCAACTCAGTTCCATTACCCAACTTGTGGCCTAAATTTGAAGGATGAAAATTTACTGTTTGATATGATTTTAGTGTCATTAGATAGGTTTATCAATTACCTATCCAAAAAGACTATAACTGTGCAGTATCAATTATATGAGTCCTGAATGATTTGTGGAGAACCATTAATCCATAACGAGATTTCCAGTTTTTGGGTCATCTGAATATTTGAATTCAAATTCTAATGATTATAGTCGTAGGTGTTCTTTGAGAAGCTTTTGTTTTGGAAAATGTCAACTTGAGAAGCATTTTTTCCTCACCAGAAATTTCTACCAAACTCTTAGTGGGTGAAAAAGTCAAATTTTTAAGAATTTTTAGAAGTTCTAGTCAAATTTTAAGTTGTTCCAATTATAGCTATGAGTTAGAAATTGATTATGAGTCTTTGTATTAAAGAAATAAGTCTATACAAGTTACATAAAATAACTGCAAATGAGGGCTATGAGAATTAGAACAAAATTTTGTCTTCCGGTTTCTTTTCTCTGGATGTGATGCTCAATAATTTTTCTTCTTTGGTATGACTCCATGGAAAGCATTGTATTAAGTTAGAATAGTTCCATGCTTGATTCAGGAACAGAAATGTGATTTCGCTACCTTTACTATCATCTTCTTCACTTAATGAATTGATTTTCTATATTTTTCATTATTAATTTGTGGGAGATTTGATCATTCTAAGATTGCCTTACATTAATTGGGGTATCAGAGCACCTGTTGACCATCTTATGTTAAGTCAGCAGTAGCATTAGTGTGTAAATAGGAACTTGAGGTTCTTGGCATCTTTTGTGTTGGGGGGAGGGAGGGAGGAAGGGAGGGGGGAGAGAGAGGTTACTTGACATCTGCTGTGGTTCCAGAGGTAAACATCAATGAGTGCTCATGGTTAATGGCAATTGTAGGAGTAAGGATGCAGGAGGCAAGAACCTAAGAATTGGGATTTGAGAGTAGGGGAGAGCTCACTGACACTTTTTCATCCCGAAAAATGATATTAGATATAGAGAAAATTTAAGTTATTTTTTACTCAAAAATGGGAAAAAGTAGGAACTGAATTTCTCGGGGAAATATGATTTTAGGATAAGGTGCTTATAAGAGCCACTGACCTGTTCATGCCTTCACCCTCCCTACCCCCATCTCCAAATTTGCCTAGCAAAACGAACAAAGTTTGACATTATCTTAGCATGAGGACAGACAGATGTTTGAACTTTGAACTTGAAGTAACACAGGATATCCCCAAATAAAGGCCAGTAATCCCTACATATAGTTTGCCTGTACTTCCCCCCAAACCACCACCATCCCCTCTTAAGTCAGTCACTTCATGATAACTGTTAACTGAGTAGGATGTATCAAGAAGAGTATTTCAAGAAATTTTAAAAACGCATAAATCAGAATTTAAATCTATTACACCGTAACTTCTAATAAGATTTTTTTTTCATTATCCTCACTTCAATTAAAGGAAAGATATTAAGTCAGTCAAAAGAGGGAAAAATGGAAAAGGAAAAGAAGGTGGAGTTGAAAATCACCTCATTGCCAAGAAAGTTACCAACACATCTTGGGTATCGTTCAATATGGAAGCTGAATATCCAATAGGTTTGATGATCTTTGTAATAGAATATGGATTTGTTGAATCGTCTAACTTGTTCTTGTTACCCACATCATCCCCCATGGACTCGGCATCATCCATCCCTGGTGGTTCAACTCTATCACGAGATTCAAGTGTGCTTCTTGCCATCGGATTTTGAGCATCATCAGGTTCACCTGAGGCTGAATCCTGTTTAAACCTCCTTACAGACCCAGACTTCCTCTTCTTAGCACCCGTGAAACGACTGCTCTGAGCAGGCTCCACAGACTCAACTTTTGAAATCCCATTCATAAGATCATCTTCCTCAGTATTCTTGGTATCAGAGAAACTTATTGATAACTTCCTAGCATTTGCTTCATCTGGAGGCATTGTTCCTTTAAGCTCACTCAATTTAGGATCAGCTTCATTTACTTCTTTGTTTAGTTTAGGTTCAATGGAGATGTTTGCAGATCCATTATTAGTTGGGCGCTCAGTCCCCGCCACATTCATGGCATCTCCTTGCTTCTTTCCCTCATCCCTGGAATGCTTTCCTTGGCTTGTTTCACCCGCTTCTGTTCCATCAGCAGCAGGAGGCGTAGGACTGCCAAGGTTTGACTTGTTAAGAGGATCCGAGGGCAGAGGTGGAGGTTCACCGCTGAACTTAAGACCAGGTAGAACACCCACACGCTGCTTCCTCTTGGGCTGAGTATGAGGACCTCCATACTTCCTTTTACGCTTACGAGAAGAACGACTCCTGCCCGAACGCAGACTTTATAACCCAACAAAAACACTTAAAGAAATAAGTACACTAGAGCGTTGATCCACCTCAATCATTTTCTAATCAAACACGATACTGAAACAATAAAAAAAGGAGAACTTGAGAAGAAGAGAAAAGAAAACCAAGGGAGAAAACCTCTCTTCAAATGCTTCGATAACGTCGGAACAGGATTGCAGATTCTCCAAAGGTTCCCAGGTATTTGCTGTCTCCGGCCAACCACGCCTGAAAGATGATCACAGAAATGCCACTTTAACAGCAAGAAGAGAACGCAGATATAGTGGTGCGCCAGTGTCAGTGATACTTGAGAAAAACAATAGCAAATAAAGCTCCGATTCTCACCATTTGATGAGATATTGGGTTTGCCCCTTTCGCCCCAACCATCCACAGCAGCAGAAAGCAACAAAAAAACCGAAAGGGATTCAAAATCAAACAAGACAAGAACAAAAAAGGAAGAGCTCAGACTAGTACGGTAGGGTTTGACAACCAGTAATGGTGGGGTACCTTACGAACCCTTTTCCTCCTGACGTCTTCAATCTCGTAAAAGCCATCAGCGAGCTTGGGCCGCTCAGCTTCTACTCCTCCCTTAGCACCTTCCTCACCGCCCTCCTCTTCCTCTTCTACCTCCTCGTCGTTCTCTTCCTCCTCTTGCTCCACTACCCCAGCCACAGCCTCATCTTGAGGCTCCGCTGGTGCCGCTGCTCCATCACCATCGCCGCCGGCGCTGCCTCCGATGGCGGTGTTGCCCTCCTCATTTTGCTGCTGCGTCAAGTCACTCTTCTTCTTGCCGCCCATTCTTCCGCACGCTATCCGCTCTTTGTTTTTTCTAGCGTCCCCCTCTCAGACAAGCTTGAATGAATGTACTTCGATGGTTGGGACTTGGGACTTGGGAGCAGGGGATTAATCGAGCATTCACTGTGCAGCAGTCGATAGAGACAGTCATCAACTACATCGTAGTTTGTAGTTGTACACGGGAAAATCTGCTTGTCGCATGAGAAATCGCCATTTTATCTGCATTAAATAATGCCTTCTGCCTTCATTTCAGCTTCAGGGCCTCTTTATCAGGTTCAGGGTCCTTGCCTTCAGCTTCAGGTTCAGAAAGGAAGCTGGTCCAGGCTAGTTCAAACTCAACTTCACCGAAAGAGGCGTCTGGCCATCTAGGTTGAAGGTCTGAATTTGAAGAAATATGGGCCAACTGATGTCTCCGTTGAAGTTTGGGTTAGGGTCGGGATTGATTTTAGAATTAGTTTAACAAAACATCCCCTCTAGTTTCATATATTTACCAAAACAACCTTCTGTTAACTGTTTGTATTGCCGTTGGAAAGTCACATAACCACGTAACCTAATAGGAAGGCCATATAATACAATATAAACTTACATAACCTAGGAAGGCAAGAATGACATTTCCATTTAATTAAATCTGTTCAAATGATATTAGGGTTAAAATTATCATTTTCCACGATGAATTAAGTAAATTGGTTGCAAAATATAAGAGGTGTTTTACTAAAGGGTTCGATTATAATACCAAAAAAACTTATAATTAATTAACCCATATCATAAAAGTGGTAACCAATTAGGTGGTATATGTCAATTCACAGGGGGTGTTTTAGTCAAAACTCTTTCAATGGCACGTCTTTCCCATAGGATTTTCCTTTAGAAAAATGCATATTATAAGGCAGAGTTTAGTAATTTTGTCAAACTATAAGGGCTGTTTTGATAATGACCCTTAATTTTGTCGCTCTATTTATTTACAACCCTTAATTCTATCCCATGTGCAAATTCTAAGGAGACTGGTTTTTGCATTTGTTTTATTTTATTTTTATTTCTATTTTCTTTTTCGTGCCCTAACTATCTTCTTCTCCCCTTTCTCTTCCACCTCCACCCTCTTCTCCCCGTGTGAGTCAGCCTCTTCCACCTAGGGGTGCAACTGTGATCCGATCCGATCCTATTTGGTCGAATTTAGATTACCTTGTTCGAATCTTTGGATTTGGATCACCTCCTATTCAATCCGATATATTATATATTTATATGCATATATATGTTATATACTTATTTATAAACATATTTTTTATATTATATTTTTATAAATTTGTTATATTATTTTTTATAAAAAAACATGTATATATATGATGAAAATAATTAAAAAATACTTGTATTTTTTGTTTTTACTTTATTAAAATTAGTATATTTTATGTTTCTTTTAATAATTTATTAATTTTTAAATAAAGCAAGTCGGATCGGATCAGATCAAAAGATCTGACTTACCGATGGGGTTCGAATTCAAATCGAGTCTTATCAAATTGGATTGGGTCTGACATGAATAGTGTTGGATCATATTCGAATATACCCTTATTCAAATCCGATCCAATCCGTTTGCATCCCTACTTCCACCATCAACTCTCTCACTTGCTCACTCACATACTCTCTCTCTCTCTTGTAGACCCTATTATGTTCATCTTCTTATGCAATGAAGATACCACTTCGCATCAACTTCCACCATTGACCTCTCTCTCTAGCCCTTCTTTTATTCATCTTATTCCACTATGAAGATGCCACTTCGCTATTGCTGCAAATCTAGCAACCTCCCACTCTCGGTGGCAACATTGCAAAACCAACTAAGACAATCAACAACAACAACTATAGTGTGTCCTCTATTAGTGCCATAAGAAACATCTTCATGGGTGTTTTGTACACCTATTACCAATATAGGAAAGCATCTCCCAAAAGAAATGAATGTTGGACCAATGGCCTTACCCAAGAGGGGGTGAATTGGGTAAAACTCTGAAACTTTGCTTGTCTTGGAATTCAATTCAAACCCTTACACTCTTGACAATCAATCTCAAAACCCTTCCCCTCAAACTAAATCTAAGCCTTATAACAAATAATATGTAGTAGAAGATTGAAGGCTTAGTTAGTTAGGTTTGGTAGTTAATCAAGATTTCTAACTTTATTCAAATAATCTGTTGAACTAAGAAACCTATAGCTACAAAAGAAACAAATAAGTATAGTAGTATAAGCTACATAGATTAGCATTCAACAATAAAGCAACTATAATAAAGAATACTAACAAGAAAATAGCAATTGAAGATAAATTAAACATAAAAGAATTGCAGCTTGCTATCTTGGTTAGTGGTTTTACAATTAATAAAAGAGCAATCAATAATAAATGTAAATAGTTGTAGAAACTAACGTGCAATTGAAAATAAATAAACTCAAATGTAAATAGCAGTTGTACCTGGTGGTGTGTGTCTTAGTAGTAGGAGAAAGAGGACTAACCACTAACAAGTAACAGAGAAATGGACCTACTACACTTAGATAGCTAAGAGATGGACCTGCCACCAAGGTAAACAAAACTAACTATAGAAAAGTAAATACAAGTAAAATGTAAATGAATAATAAATGAAAATAACATACCAATAAAAGCAGTAGTTAGTAAAATTAGTGCAGTTAGTGGGGTTAGTCAAGTTAAAACTTAGTAATTGCACAACCTACCGTTGTATCTTGTAGATGTAAAAGAAAAGAAAAAATAAATAAAGTGTAAATTTTGCAAGATCTCAAGGTATCAAGTATTTTAGTTACGAGAAGAATAAACACAAAGAAATGAACTACAAACTTGAAAAGCAAAGAAACAAAGAACATAAGCACACCAAGATTTTTATAGAGGTTTGGCCAACCCCGCCTATGTCCTTTACCTCAGATTGCTACTGAGGATTTCCACTAATCGGACTTCCTAAGTGCCAACCAAGCCTTTATAATGGGACTTCACAGGCGCTTGCAATACTTGAAATAGTTGGATTTACACGATTGCTAATAAGACCCAAACTAACAGGGCTTTCGAGTGCCTATAATACCTTATAGTTGTACTTAACATAGGTGCCAACAAGACACTAAATGTGAAAGATGACCATCTAATGATCATGTTGTGCCAAAAAACCCAACAACGAAAGAGGTAGGATTTTAAAAATTCACAAAACCTTAGTGATGAAATTGTATATATGAGAAAACTGATTTTTCTCATAGGGCCGATTTTGTTCTTGCACGATGGAATATCAGATATTTTTGGATAAAGATTAAATGCATTACCTGATTTTGAAGTCTACAAGTGCATAATTTGAAGTGGTGTTCACACCCAAGCTTGAATCCTCCTAATAACACTATAACAAGTTGAAAATGGTGCAATTGTATCTTTGTAGTCTTGGATTTCTCCTCTAGAATGTATAGCAGCAAGGTTCCTACCTTTGTCACGTTTTTAGGTAATTTTCTTGACCCAAAACAATACTGGAATAATGCTTAAACCAATGGATATAAGCTCTAGTCGAATGAGATTCAAAACCTAATTTAAATGTCTTACGATAGGGGGATCAAATTCATTCCTCTTTATTTGATCCCCTTTCATTCCTCTTTATTTATAGACTTGGGAGGCTACAAGGTCCATCTCCAAATATATTTACAAGTCCTAATTCATTTAGGATAAAATTAGAAAGAGTCTAGCTTTCTTAAATCAACCATGAGACTGGAATCCATCTAACTAGTCAAATTAGTCAAATCTGAGTCTTATTAGACTTATCTAACGCATAGTTTGACTAGGACTCCTATGTATGACTCTTAATTATCTATTATCACTTTTTTTATTTTTGAAAAATATTTATCCAATTAGGAGATTACAACTTGTATGGTGTGGGGCCCATAGTTTAATGGGAGAGCCAACATGTCACTGATTTGTACAAGCCGGTAGGGCCGACACTAACATTTTAATTATAAGATGATTTGACCATAATTGTAAAGGGCTTAACTAATTTGGCCTATTAAGTGTCTAAACACTTAAAAACACATAGGATCTTACTATCCTAAAGGCCTAAGTTATTGGTCCACCCCATTATGTGATAATTAAGTCAATACAACTCAATTAATCACTTGCAATTAATCGCTTTGTTATAAACAATTGACATCACATTAAGGGAAATGACTTTTTCTTTCTTTTCTTTATGACATGGTGTCTAACTTCCAACACAAATGGATCATTCATTGAGGATTCAAATAATCCTACTACCGCCAGATTTAGGACTTCAAGGAGGAAGTTGTATAAAGTGTTTTCTATGTCTTAACATAGTTGTGAGCAACGGAAAAATTGTTCACTTGCCACTTGGGCTGGAAATGGAGTCGCCACCCATCATCAATTAAGGAAATTGAGGTAATGAGACCTCCGAGAATGGCATCAAAATCATTTTGGTTCAATAGTGACTCCAATAGCCCGAGGCACCGACTAACCAGCCTGGTTAAGACTTGGATGGGAGAGGGAAGGGGTTATGCACCCCTTTCCCGGGTCCAATAGGTGGGGCCCACACAGGGTTCTAAAAGTAAATGCAAGTAAACCTAAAAAAAGTACTCCTAACAAGCCCAAAATATTCACGAACCAAAATTACATTATTAAAGGAAATAAATTGCAAAAGAAACAATGTCTAGTCATCTCCCTAGGAAATCTTTCATCTTAACTATCATTTACCGTGCTAGGCAGATTAGAAACAAAACCATTTATCAGATCAAACAAACATAATTGATAAAAAAAGGATAAAATAAAATGGAATAAAAAGCATCCAACATAATAAAAATAGAAATAAACAGAACCTAAATCTTTAGTTGATTGGATTTTGACTAGAGGAGAGGGTAAACATGTTATCCGTATTAAGATAAGAAAGAAGATGTGAAGATAGGAAAGAGGGGAAAACATGCATTAGAGGATTGGACATACTAATTCGTTTGGATTATTTTGGCATGGCAGAGACAAATGAAATCATTCAAGATCAACATAAAAGTTTTCTATCTTAGCAAATACCATTCTACCAATCACTCGACAGGGTTAAGGTATAATAATCTACCCTACTTGTATCCGGTATCTGAAGAAATCAGCAATGAGAAGACAACAATCATAATAGAAAATGAACTTAAGAAAACCGATGGTAGAATCAGGGAGGGTACAGAGCTTACAGAAACTCATCAAACTAGTTTCATCGGCTCTTCCCCACTCATGACTCCCAATTACAATTAAACAATAAGAGGATATAGAGTTGATTACAGAGGAGAAAAAGGGGGTTACCTGATTTGTATTTTGGCCTAAAACAGGGAAAATTTGCTACAACTGGGAGAGTTGGGAGGAAGAAATAACCGCTGGGACTCAAGAGGGTGTGATAATTGTGCTGGTGTTGCTGCTATCTCT